TACAGTGTATTTGTTGGAAGAGAACGGTGTTGACATACTCAAGCAGTGTGCAGCCTCGTTCCACAATTTCCATATTACGATTTATTCACTATAATATTACAAATGTTCACCCAAACAGCTTTGGACATACAGTTTTATAGACCCCCCAGCCCATTGTCAACCTAGGCTTGGGGTGAACATTTGTATAATGTCGATATTACGACATTATAACATCTTCACTACATTATCAACTATAATTTATTTGAGTTTAGAAATGTACTTACTCTAAGATTATTATTTTAGCATTTAACATGTGAATCGGCGATATACTGTGTCGCCGATATACGAAAATTGTGTAGTTATCTATCTGGTAGTGGTACACGTATGTCTGGTTATTTCATTAATGAATGTGATTATCTAATAATATTGCCCAGCTTTGTACTCATCTATGATCAGCTAAGGAAACTGTGCCATCGAATCTTGAAGTTGATTTTTTCACATTGTAATCCATTTCAATAATTATTGTTATTACCATGTTATTAACATTTAAAATCAGTTAAACACGAATCCTGAAATAGTGCAGCAATAGAGCTGTCCGGCACTAAAAGTCCTAGTGTTCAATCACCAAATCAAACACAATTGTCGTTGCTGTAATCACTCATGGTCACTTTATTTTATTTCATTTTAGGAGAGGTGAGATGCGAACAGGTGTCAGTGGGATATTTCTTGCTGTTTGAATGCAACCTAAACCCACAAACGACGAGAGCTGCTTAGCAAAATCCATCAACTTACTAGCATGGTTATAGAAACAAGACGATCCTAATAATTACAAGACCACTTCAAACACAAACATATTACTATTATGTCTTAAACTGTTCATTTTCCAGGCTTCTCTAGTGTGTTATCAAGCTTTATGTGCTGACGTCAGGTCAACATCAATTACGTACTCCACGATTTAAGTACTGAATCGACTTGATTAACAAACTATATAAACACGTGGTTAACAATATGCCAGTCTATTAGTTTGTCATACATATATAAGACACATATATTCGTTTACATTAGCACTATGTCATGACTCTGAATTGTATACCAACATATTTTTTGCAGATATATGCGAAATGTTTTTATTAATGTTATTAACTTTTTCTCAACGTAATTATTTCGAAAATAAGTGTTACTAGACCAATGGCGCTAACAATTGAACAACACGCATTATGGGATAATATACAATATAGGTCACAAAGGTCATTTATGTTTATGGAGTAGAGACTG